TTAATATGCTAGAGACTCAAAAAATAATAAGTGGCCAAAACTTCTCTTGGCCTCTGAGAGGCTTTATAAATCTATAATAAAATGTGATGGATGGCCCTGACTGGTTTGGCTGAGTGGCTAGAGCAGTGATGGCATACCTTTTGAGCTCGGCGTGTCAGCATTTTGAAAAACCCTAACTTAACTCTGGTGCCGTGTCACATATAGAAATTTTTTGATATTTGCAACCACAGTAAAACAAATATTTATATTTTTGATATTTATTTTATATATTTAAATGCCATTTAACAAAGAAAAATCAACCAAAAAAATGAGTTCATAGGTTCGCCATCACTGGGATAGAGCATCTGCCTGCAGACTGGGGAGTCCCAATTTCGATTCCAGTCAATGGCATGTACCTTGATTAAAAGAGGTTGTAAGGGTGGAGCCCTAGATAAATTTGATGGTTTTACAAGAAGAGGAAGATTTCTCTCTCCCTCCTTAGTTTGGCTCAGTGGATAGAGCATCAGCCTGCGGACTCAAGGGTCCCAAGTTTGATTCCAGTCAAGGGCATGTAACTTGGTTGCAGGCACATCCCCAGATATATATATATTTATATTTTTTAAAATGTGATGGATGCCAGGTGGAGTAGTGTACTATTGCTGCTTAGTGTTTGAAGTTGGCATGACTGGCATAGCACGAGAAGGCTTTCTGGAGGGGTGGAATTCAGTCTACCCCTCTTCCACCAGGCCTTACCAGAGCCTTTCACCTTCTTGGCATCTTACACAGAAAGAGTGCAATATTCGTTACCAATGACATCGTGCCTCAGCTTCGAGGGAACGGCACCTCTGCTTCACTTGTCATTTACTCTCTCTGCTCTCTCTGCAGAGCATCCTGTCTATGCTCTGCCAGATGGAGGTGCCTGTGGAGAGGGGGAGTGTATGGCAAAGTCTCTGGAGGTAACTCTCTCCTGCCCTCCCCTACTCCACTCCCCACCATGGGAATTAGGACTTTCTAAAAGAACTCAGGGACGTCCCACAATGAACTTGGCTTTTGGAGTTTCTCTTGTATTTTCCTTTCCATACCTAATAAGAAAAATGAAAGGATTAGTCTAACCTTTAGAAAATTCCAAAGATACTCAGGGCATTGAATCTGCATGTTTGCATTGTGTGAGAAGGAACTTATAAGTACATTTAAAAATTTTGTGCTTAATTTTGAGAGTCAAAGGAGAAAAATTACAAAGAATAATAAAGCAAATATTTTATTCAGCTCATCTAAATTAAGCATTGTTAATATTTTGTCTCATTGACTCTCATTCTTTCCTTTATTTTTGATTTAAGAAATAATACACCACAGATGTAGGTTAGCCTTCCTTTAACCCTATCTCCATGGTTATTCCCTCCCCATCCCAGACCCCCTCCCTTCCAGGGTGTTTGAAGACTGTTTTCTTCCAGTCTGTTCTCAGATAGATTTACATGTAGTTTTACATATCTCTACATATAGAAATATGTGTACATATTTTTGTGTGCACATATAATATGCCTGAGCATTTAAATGCTATTCACATGAAGAAGATAAACATGAAAATACGCCTATGGATTAGTTTTTTACATGGTGAATGCACATAACTAGCATCATATTATATGAATTAATCTCCATTTTGCTCTTCTTTTTCAGCATTACTTTCAGTACCTATTTATATTGATATTTATAAATTGAATTGCCTGGGTATAATAATTCTTAGTATATGTTAGATACTTAAAATTATTTGTGAAATGAATGAATGAATATATGAATAGCAGTTTCAAAGCTCCTTTTGTGTCAGAGTCTCTATTTAAAACTTGCGTAATGCTGATATAACAACTAATTTTTCATTACCAGGCTTCTTTTCCCCAAATATCTTCACCTGCTTGCACTGACATGCCGAAGTATTTCTTGAGGTCCCTCAGACTGCAAAATTTCATGTGATTCCCCTTACTCCTCATTCACTGCACTGGCACATCATAAAAATTTAGAGGTGTTTTCTAAAATAAAATGTTACTCCAATAAACATACTACCTAGTAGTCATTTTCTCCAGTTTTCATCCATGGGAAATCGTACACTCACAGGCTTTAATGCAGCGTTTCTCAACCTGTGGGTCGCGACCCCTTTGGGGGTCGAACGACCCTTTCACAGGGGTCGCCTAAGACCATCAGAAAACACATATATAATTACATATTGTTTTTGTGATTATCACTATGCTTTAATTATGTTCAGTTTGTAACAATGAAAATACATCCTGTATATCAGATATTTACATTACGATTCATAACAGTAGCAAAATTACAGTTATGAAGTAGCAACGAAAATAATTTTATGGTTGGGGGTCACCGCAAATGAGGAACTGTATTAAAGTGTCGCGGCATTAGGAAGGTTGAGAACCACTGCTTTAATGCATCCTGTCAGCCAAAGCACAATTAAGCAAGAGATTGTTACCCAAGAGTTGTCAAATATTGACTCTTCAAGACCAAAAATAAAGCGTCCTGAAGACCAGGTCTGGGTGGGGACCTCCAGATCCCAGACCCTTGGACAGTCCCAGCTGTTGTGTGAACAGGAGTAGACAGTTTCACTTTCTGTTCTCTGATCCTCTTTCCCACCAAAGGTTCCTAATTTTCAAAAACAATCGTGAAGTTTAGGCTTGTTCCAAACAGTGTTTGTTGACTGAAGGTCATCTCGTTCTTTGCTGTCAATTACATCTTGAAAAGGTTCTAGGGAATTGCCAAAGCATTTTTGTTCTGATTTCTTAATAGTACCTGCACTAACAAAAGACAAACATGCAAATTGACTGTACCTTCGCTATGCCTTAAGCCACGCCCACCAGCCAATCAGAGCGACTATATGCAAATTAACCCAACCAAGATGGCGACTGGCAGCCACGGAGCTGGAGCAAGCAGGAGGCTTGGTTGCCCCAATGATGGAGGAAGCTAAGCTTCCCACTGCCGCGGCAGCTCTGAGCTCCACTCAAAGCAACAAAGTTTCAATTATAGAAGGTAAATAAACCCTAGATACCTGCAGGTGTGGCCACGGAGCTGGAGCGAGCAGGAAACCAAGTTTCCCCCCTGCCACGGTGGCTCTGAGCTCCACTCAAAGCAACAAGGTTTCAATTATAGAAGGAAAATAAACCCCAGAATAAAAGAAAAAATGGAGAGGCTGGGAACTTCCATCACCAGGGGGGCTTGGCCAGCCTGAAAACGGCCCTCAGCCCCTCACCCAGGCTGGCCAGGCACCCTAGTGGGGATCCTCACCCTGAAGGGAGTGTGACCAGCCTGCAAACACGCATCAGCCCCTCACCCAGGCTGGCCAGGCACCCCAGCGGGACCCCCACCCTGATCCAGGACACCCTTCAGGGCAAACCAGCTGGCCCCCACCCATGCACCAGGCCTCTATCCTATATAATAAAAGGGTACTATGCAAACTGACCCTAACAGCAGAACAACTGGGAATGACTGGTCACTATGACACACACTGACCACCAGGGGGCAGACGCTCAATGCAGGAGCTGCCCCCTGGTGGTCAGTGCGCTCCCACAAGCCAGGCTGACAGCTGCCAGTACAGCGGTGGTGGTGGGAGCCTCTTCCGCCTCCTCAGCAGCACTAAGGATGTCCGACTGCAGTTTAGGCCTGCTCTCCGCTGGCAAGTTGACATCCTCCGAGGGCTGCCGGGCTGCCAGAGGGATGTCTGACTGCCAGTTTGGGCCCAATCCCCCAGGGAGTGGGCCTAAGCCAGCAGGTGGACATCCTCTGAGGGGTCCCAGACTGCAAGAGGGCATAGGCCGGGCTGAGGGACCCCCCCCCCACAAGTGAACAAATTTTTGTGCACCGGGCCTCTAGTACAAATCATAATTAAGAAAAGGAATAGTATCTTTGCCTTTAGTGTCATTTTAAAATTAATTAATTTTGCTTACTATATATCCAAAAATAATTGCAGGTAGTTGCAAATTTGTTTGCACCAATTATTAGGCTATCAGCAGTGGTTAAATTTATTAAATGCTCTGCTAAAATAACATCATATTCAAAGTCTGTCAATTTTACAATTATAGTTTGCAATGAAATCCTGAATGAGTTGTAATTCAAAGAATGATTGTTTTTAATGAACAAATTCATTTTGCTCCTAGGCAAAAATAGAATTTGTTCATTAAAATATTCATCCTTTGAATCACAACTTATTCAGGACTTATTCTGTGTTGAAAACTATTCTAGGTGTTGGACACAAAGCAAGTATGTTCTCTGCCATCATGGAACTTGGAGACTAGTAAGACAGTGGGTAGTTTTGTACTATGTCAGCTTAACCAAGCTGAAGCCATGACTCTTCGAGTCCCCTTTTGTGTGTGGTTCTGGTTTAGTGTTGGCCGTGAGGAACACTGTGATATTTGGAAGGGCCACGGAAAGGGAACCAGCGGCTCTGAAAGTTAGTGTAAGGCACCAGGTGTGCCGCACTCATACACATTGTCACTGGTCTGCTGCTCACCTGTTGGCAGCCAGCCTGCAACTTCTGCTTCTGCTGCTGATCTCCTTCAGCTTCTCAGTCCTGGATCAGACACAAGTGATCCCCATGGTGAAGGGCACCAGCTTCCTCAGCACATTTCACACCTCATCCAGGTTGGAGGTTGCTATAGGCTGAATGTGGGTCACACTCCAAATTCACATATCGAAACCTAAACCTTTGGAAGGTGATTAGTATAAAAGAGACCCCAGAGAATTTTCCTCATCCCTTCTACCATGTGCGGTTACAGAGAGAAGACGACATCTGTGAACCAGGAGGCAGGCTCTCACAAAACACTGAATCTGCCAGCACCTTCAGTATGGACTTCTCAACTTCCAGAACTGCGAGAAATAAATTTCTGTTGCTCTTAAGCCACTCAATCTATGGTGTTTTGTTACAGCAGCCTGACCAGACTAAGACAGAGGTGGTGTGAGATGGATGTGGGTTTCAATTTGTCCTCATGGGTTTTTGTTTGTCTCTGGTCTCCCCATTTCATGCCTAGAGTTTCTCCCTGACTGTGAGTCCTGCTGGCCCAGGAGACTTCAGGCCCATCACCAGAGGCAAGGCAGCCATCTTCCATAGACATCTTCATCAGCATCTACATTGCGTGAGTTCTCATACCCATAAGTAATCTTGCTTTTGATATTACTCACGGAGGTTCTATTTCTCTGATCAAATCTAACTAATAGAAGAACATAGACATTGATCAAAGAATCATATAATGTACAATAATAGATTCTTTTAAAGATTTGAAGGGAGAATACAAGCTACAATGAGACAATATACATATAGGGACTTAATTTAGATCAGGGAAAGAGATGTCAAGGTAGACCCCTTCGAAGAAGTGACATTTTAGCTGGGACTTGGAGTTGAAGTAGATGATTGCCACGTCAAGAGCTAGACAAGAGGAGGAGCAGTGTGGGAGAGCTCTGAGGTCTGCCCAGAGCAGGCACTGAAGGAAGACCAGGGTAGCCAGAGCAGAGGGAAGGAGGTGGCAGTGGTAGAGAGGGGCCAGGTCATCAGGACCTGTTTTCCAGTTCAAGGTCGTGATGTTTACTCGAAGGGGATGTAACAGGAGCTGAGTTCTGTTTTTAAAAGCTTACTCTGGCTGCTCTGTAAAGAAGGTGATCATCTATTTGATAATGATCATCTGATGGTTGAGAATTATTTTCTAGAATGGAATTTCAAGTTCAGCACTTGCTGCCTCTTGAAATAAAAATTACATATCCAAAAAGGAACAAAACACCTCATTACATGCAGGGAAATAAAGACCTGGCCCCATAGTACTCAAAGCTTGGCCATCAAATACTTGAAAGGTGGCTTGATTGTTATTATTGACAAATCATATTATAGTATCATGGATGCCTTTTGCCTCCAAACTGTTGGCAAACTCTTTGAGATTTTGAAATAAGTAAGGAAAACTCTACAATATCAGGATCATTACTGCAACAATGAATTAGAAAGATTATTTGAACCCAGGTTGAAACATATGCGGGCCTTACTCTAACCCTGAGGTCTCAAATATCCACTGAATCTGTCTCCTTCCATTTAATCTTGAGCTAGCTACATATTGATAATTGTTCTGCAAAAACATCTTGTTCTGTTGCACACCAAGGTCTTGTTATACATTTTTACTCCTTCTCGGGAAGGGAGTTTGAAGCCATACATCATCAGTATCAAATTTGAAAAGTAGATTTGCAAATCGACTTCTTGGTAGCTTAAATGGCCAAAATCTGAGTCACAGAGAGAAAAAAGTAACTGTGGTAATGATGATGATGATGATGATGATGATGATGATGATGATGATAATGATGGAACATAAGGGGGAGGTGGTAGGAGAAGACTGGATTAAGAACAAGTTTTAAAAAGGAAAAAGCTTCAAGAAAATATAGCTATGGTCTTAGATTGGTTGTTTTCCCTCAAGAAAGAAAACTGTAAAAATGAAGAAATCTGATAAATACTGAAAATAAAGAGATGGGAAACAGGAGGTTTATAATGGGTCTGATGAGTGAAAGGTTGTGCAGTGGAAACAAAAGGGGGAGCAGATGCAAGGATCTTCAAAGAAGTAAAGGCAACAAGACTTGGAGTCTGATGGGACATGAGCAGCACAGGAGAAATGGTGATTCGGTGATGATAAAGTTGAAATGGAGGGTCCTGAAGAACGGTAGAAACATTTTTTATTTTTTAAAAAAATTGAAAATTGTATTAATGAGAAAGGTGATCACTCCAGGCCTTTTCTGTAGGTCAGCAGAAAAGTTGCAAGTCCTTTTATTTGTTTATCCTCAACTGAGGATATTTTTTCCATTGATTTTTAGAGAGAGTGAAAGGGAGGAGAGCGGGGGAGAAAGAGAAAAATCGGCAAGAGAGACACATCAATTGGTTGTCTCCCGCATGCATCCTGACTGGGGCTAAGGATGGGACCTGCAACCCAGGTACGTGTCCTTGGCTCAAAATCTAACCTGCAACCCTTCGATGTGCAAGCTGACACTCCAACCACTGAGCCACACCAGCCAGGGCAAAAGTCCTTTTAAAATATGACAACATTTCCATATTCTTCAGGTATTCAAATGCAATCAAATTACTTCAGCCTACAGACTGTAAGCCCTCAGATAGCTGAGAAGGTAATGCTATATTTTTCAGGATAGCACAACACATGGATACAGTTTCTCAAGCCAGAATGGGTGTGGTCTTTATTTGCACTTGGCCTTTCTTTTTGTTAAATTTGTAGCCTTGGTTTAATGAATGCAGAGGGATAATGTTTCAGAATGGTAATGACATGATTGGTATCTTGATTGACTCTTTGTATTCCTGTGAACATGCCTATATTATAGCAGAGACAAATAGTATTATAAGCATGTGATCATGCACTCGAATATTCTCCTGTGCATGTTAAAGGCTGCCCTTGGTATTCACTGCGATATACTTCCCCTAAAAGCACACGTCCTGGGGAGGAGAGAGTGGGATTTGCTGCCAGCATCCACCTGGCACCTCCAGTCCCAGCTCCAGTGACCTCTCCTCTTGCACCTCCTGGGTTTCTCACTAACCTCCTCCCTGCCTGGCACTTTCTTTGCTCCTAGGTTTTATAAGCAGGAGAGAAGATTCCATTATTTATGTGGTTGGCAAGAGAAAAATAGCAATTCTTATCTGTGATGAAAAACTCCTCAGATGAGGGAGTTGTGAACACTGCATTACTTGGCTCAGAGTCATAGAAGGCTGAGAAGGTGGGGCTAGGCATCATGTTTTATTTATTTATTTATTTATTTATTTATTTATTTATTTATTTAATCCTCACCCGAGGATATTTTTTCCCATTGATTTTTAGAAACAGAGGGAAAGAGGGAAAAACAGGGAGAAATATTGATGTGAGAGAAACACATTGGTTGCCTCCTGCACTCTCCCTGACCAAGGCCCAGGCTGGGGAGGAGCCGGCAACCAAGGTACGTGCCCTGGTCCAGAATAGAACCCAGGACCCTTTGGTCCGCAGGCCAACGCTCTATCCACTGAGTCAAACTGGCCAGGGCTCGGCATCATGTTTACAATTGCAAAGCATAATCTGTTGTACTTGGTTTGCAGTCCATTACTAAGGGCCTGCAGCTCCCACTTCAGGACCCGAAGGGGAAGCCTCCGGAGGCAGGAGGGTGTGTTGTGTAGTAAGCTCTGCTTGTAGACAGCTCCTGAAAGGGAACGTTCTTGGCACTTCTCACGCTAGGCATTTTGATTCGCTTTTATATGTTTTTTCCAACATAAAAGCAGAATCAGTTCCAGCCTTAATTCTCTTTCAAGCCTACCATGGATGTTCAAAATCCACTAAATATTAAAACAGCCTCAAGTAGCTTCAAAGTTTCTACTTCCACCTTTCTCCCTTCAAATCACACACAATCGCTATGTTGTACATATCACTATGTTGCTTTAAAACCTTATATTCAGAAAGACTGGAGCTCCAGAAAATCTGGGAAATTATTAAGCAAAACTGTCCTAAGAGTTATTGTTTCATGGGTACAAGTTTCCCTGTGGGATGATGGGAAAGCTCTGGAAATGAATCGTGGTGATGATTATACAGCAATGTGAATATGCTGACCTCCACTGAATTGCCCACTTAAAAATGGTTAAAATGGTACATGTTATGTCAGGCATAGTTTTCCAAAGTTTTTTTAAAAAGTCAGGCCAGTGGTTGCCTGAAGAAGGAAGTATGGGCATGTGTTCAGAAGGGCCTGGCATTGTTCTACTTTTGCTCTAGTGATTACATGTCTATTCAGTAATTATTATACTTACCTTTGACTTATATTTCAGGGTATAATTGTGTTGTATTTCCCAATAAAAAGATTAATTAAAAAGTAAAAAACAAAACTATCGCCAGTGGTAAGAATTATGGGGCCTTGGGAAGTCCGTTCTCCTGCGCTGGGCCTCGTTTTTTATTTTTAATGTGAAAGGAATGACTTAGACTAAAAGATCTCGGAAGCCTTTCTGCTGCCAACATCCTGTAACTGTACACAGTAACTGCTTGTGAATGAAATAACTACAAGGACCGAAAGTCCTAGGCGTATCATTTATTTTGACTGGGTTTTCCTTCACAGAAATTGAAAAATCAAAGTGTGTGTGTGTGGGGGGGACCTTGGAGCAATAAAACCCACTGACTAAGATGAATAAACATAGGTGGTATAAAATACAGCCTGGGGGAAGTTGACTGCTCTGAGATACAAACATGAAGAGAAAGGATTGTTTGTCACTTACTCTAGGCTAGGAGGGGACAGAGAGCTCCACAAGAGGTGGGGTGGGCTAGAGAAATGTGAGCAGGCACACCTGAGTTGGAGAGATAGGAAAGGTCTTTTACCATCTTGAGGAGGAAGGGGCTGGCACCCATGTTTGCTCTCATCTCTGCCAAATACAGGCTCTTCAGTGGCAGCTCTGCTTCTACACAAACCATCTTCTTCCCCATAAATCTTTATTTTCCAGATCCACCCCCAAAGCCTCAATGGGCAACTATACCTAACTGATGCCTTCCTTGTGTGTTCCCATTTCCCAATAGCCTCCTCATCCTCAAGGCCCACCTCCTCCAGGCCTTAGTGAGTCACCCTGTCCCTTTCCTTGACATACTGTCTCCTGATTCTCTCCCTCCTTCTCTATCCCCTCCTCTTTACTTCTCCATTAACTCCACTTTTTGTCCCACATTTAAATGTCCTACAGTATCTAATATTCCAAAAGCTCAACAAAGGGGTTGGTAAACCATGGCCTGTAGCCCATCGTCAGTTTTTATAAATAAAGTTTTATTGAAACACAGCCACACTCATTCACTTATTCATTCTCTATGGCTGCTTTTGTGCTCCCACAGTAGAGTTGAGTAATTGCCACACAGACCAAATGACCCACAAAGCCTGTAATATTTACTGTCTGGCCCTTTACACAAAAATTTTGCCATCCCTTCCTCCAATGAATTAGGTTGTTGATATTTCTTTTGCATAATTGTCTTTGCTAAGTCTGTATTTTATTTCTCCAACTTGGGGACCAGGACTGTGTCTAATATGCTTTTGTGTTCTTCCAGAGCCCATCTCACTGCCTTGCACCTTATTAGAATCTCAGTAAATAATGATTAATTAATTAATGATTAAT